TGTCCTAATTGATGTGTTGTCTTTCCGTCTCCTGTTATAATTGGATAAATCCAGTAAATATCTTATACAATGGTGACTTCAGACTTTAAATAAAATAATCTGATATCAGCAGCACATGGACTTGGGATGTGTTTAAAACTTAACTGTATAATTGGGGTTCTAGCCGCATTGCATTGCATTTGGCAACTTTAACCTCAAAATACTTAGCCTATAACATTTTTTGCATCAACAAATTTATAGGTAATAGTTCTTATTAAGAACACATTTGTACGATTAACTTTTTTATCATTTGTTCTGAAATAAAATTTGACAATTCTTGTTTGGTTTCTACACATGTAGAAGGTAATAAAGTTGAAAACAAACAAAACAAAAAGTGTGACAAACAAACAAGAAAAAGTAAACTACTATGGTAATATTATTTGCTCTCTTATTGTATACGCTGTTTTGATATATTTAATTATATATGCATGAGCGCGTGTGTGAATTCTGGAAAACATTATATCAAAAACAAGGTGACCCCCCCTATTCGCACAATCAAAAACAGGGTAACCCCCCCTACTGATCCACCTACCCCCCCCCCAGGCCGAAGTAACTGACCAATCCCTTAATAGCACTGTCGCATGTCCTTCGTCTTAGCCACATAACCACCGCAGTCCACTTGTGATCATTGAATGTTTAGTTTGATGATTGATTAACATATATTCATTGTAAAGCTGTTGCATTCAAGTTGTGTTACTACAAGTTGATTTAAACTTGTTCCTTTCGTTGCCAACGTATTTAATATACGGAAATAGCATGGGTGTGCGTTTGCCTGAGTGAAAGATGCAGGTGAGACTCCTCTTCGCAACGCGTTCTATTTATTTCCAATGTGCGTGGTCGGCGCTTTTGATTGCGTTTATTTTGTTCTTTTATTCTCGAAATCTATCACTGACAGCGTTTGTTTGTCTCACAACTTAATGTCCAAGCTGACAGGTCAATGCCCGAGGTACACATGAACAATACATATCCCGAAGAGACATGCCACAATATATCAAAATAAACCACACTTACTGTTCACTCAGATATATCTCCCAAACAGATCACCTCAGAATATTTACAAGATACATCAAGCAGCAATCCCACACCAAAATCAGTATGCAGTATCTAATTAGTCCACCGCCACCACCTGTAGTTGTCTAAGATGTAGCTACCCAGTCTTAAATCCAACTGAGTTACTCCTAAACAGGTATGTCTAGTCTGCCTACCCAAATAATAGAACCATTTAATTCTGAAATATAGCTCAATCTGTCACCTACACCAATATAGAAACTCTCAGTCAGAGTGTTAACAGATGGCAACTCCTCTGACTGTCCCAGGCCTGAACCTCAATATGATGGAAATACAACACCAGAATCCAACCTGATAGATTGATGTATTACTGCATGACACTGGTGTGTGACTGCAAGCACAGAAAATCCATAATCGATGAGACTAGCCAACAGACATAGGAATGAGACTGAAGTTATTAGACGGACTAATAAACTATGCAGCTCTACGTGCGCCCACACACAATACCATACAGTAAAAAATCATGACTAAGACAGATGGAACATGAATGTGATTAAGCAACAGTATTGAAAGCCATTTTGAACTAAATGATGAATATATGTGTCTGGGCATTGTGTAGTAATATTTATTTGTTGTTCTTTGTTAAATATAAAAAAATTGCATCTCGTTGTAATGTAATTATCATTAATCACAACAGTATATGGCGCCCTCTGTGTCAAGATCATGACTAACCCACCCACCCCCAATTGACCCTTGACACAACACCTGCTTCTGAATTTGTACTTACAATAGGTACGCGATGTCATCCTAATCGTTTTATATTGCGTATTAGTTATTCAAACCAACCGTTTTTGGTCGGTGGATCAATATTTATTTAGTGTTTGAGGTCATGTACAAATTAATAGAAATTTGTATAAATTTGTTGATTCATTGATGTTTGTAAGAGTTATTTTCCACACAGAACGTAACGCGTTTTCCAATTCCGGTTACACTTGTTTTCAAACACGTATTGCGCACAGTTTTCTGTACAAGGCGAGTCTTGACCTGACACTGACACCGTTCATCTGCATAACACACACAATCACAATGGGCTCGCAAGGAATTTCTATAAACTGTTCAAAACACATAGACTGTAGCCCATTGTGGTTGTATGTCCTGCCATGAAGATAAACATTGCCTCCCTTGCCATGTTATGACGTGCCTGCATTTGTGCAATATGACAATTTAACGAAACTTACCTCGGTAACGGTGCTGGTTCGGTGGTTAGCGACGTCGAAACTCCATCCGCTGTCACACGCCGTCCTTGGCATTTCTGTTTCGCACATCATTGTATTGTTGTTGTGTTTCTCTACCCTTTCACTCGTATTTCTAGGATGTATGTCGTAGCGAAAACAGCTGTTCGGCTGGCATCGATTGTCGCTCATATCGTACGGTATATACATACTAACCGTAGCATTGTTCTTCGACAAGAGTTCGGTTGAAATTTTACAAACATGAGGCACTTTTGAGTTTATGAACGCCGGACTAAGCAAAAGTATACTATTGGATATCATACAGCAACAAAGTAGGGAGTATACTAATTTTTGATAGCGTCCGAAATCCCCGAGGTGGAGCAATACCTCGTCGAATTCTAACCGCATCCTGTAGCCCCGGCTGATTCGATATGTCCTCAGCGTCAGTGTGACAATAAATTATCTAGAGCATAGGATGGCCAGAGCGTTCTTGCTTGTCGGGGTCATTCATTATGTCATAGGGGCTACATGGTTATGCGCATGTGTACAAGTTGTTTACCGGCACGGCAGGGGAGCTGCAGGTCATAGCGTTGACTAGCGTTACTGTTGTAGGACGGTTTTTTGTTACTAGTAGTTTAAAATCAACAAATATGCTACCACCTGCTACGTTCACACGGCAGCAGTCTTTTTGTCCTGTTTGTCGCTGGTCTGGAAGACGACTTGTCCGGGATCGTTTTGTGACTACAATGTTTACATTCATTATGTCATAGGGACTGCATGGTTATGCGCATGTGTACATGTTGTTTACCGGCACGGCAGCGACACTGCAGGTCATTATTGAATAGCGTTGCTGTTGTACGACGGGTTTTTGTAAGTTTAAAATCAACAAATATGCTACCACCTGCTACGTTCACACGGCAGCAGTCTTTTTGCCCTATTTGTCGCTGGTCTGGGGGACGATTTCTCCGGGGTCGTTTCGTGACTACAATGTTTACACGTAATTGTCAATCTTAAAACTAAGCTGATAAGGTACTGGGCAAACAGTACAGGGGGTAGGCCGGTATTTTTTGAAAGTCGCGTATATAAAAGTATATGACCCGTCACAAGCATCTGCATGAAAATTGCTGATCAGTGGCGGATCCACAGGGGGGGGGGCATGGCCCCCCAAACGCATGACGATTCATATCATCTGGATTACGCATAGCCTCTCTTTTGCTGGATCCGCCTCTGTTGCTGACCTCCCCCGTGAATGGTTCATAAAAAGTTGGAAGACTTGCCCACTGTAAAAATGCATGTTTTATTGTGTGCGGGGCAAAGCTGTCATATACATAATCTTAATAACTGGAAATGGTTTCAAAACGGAAAACTGTTTTATTACCTTTAATAATTATGGACAATAAATAACGAAAATCTGTGAGTCATAACATTTATAAAAAATGTGCTGAGATTCACTCTGAAATATAATTTTACAATCGCATACGAATCGTCAAAACGTACAGTTTAGTGACAGTTGGGAATGATTCCAAGATTTAACAATTCCATGAGAACATCGCGATGTTCTTTTAACACATGAAACGGGTGTGCATTGGTCAAATTTTGTATAGTTTCAATACGCATACT